CTTAAGTCAATAGCGACATAGTGTCCCGCTATTGTGAGGTAAGTAGGGGGTGTCCATTTAAAAATAATTCCATAATTATGTATATATTTGTTTATAGATATGAAATGATTTATTTTAAATGCAAGTTTAAGGAAAGCATGAGCTGGTAGATATTTTAGGAGTTTGTGAATGCCCAAGCATTTGAAATGTGTTTTGAATATATATATATATATATATACAAGTTAAATACGTAAAGGGTTTTCAAATCGGGAAACAAGGTTTGCAATATAATTTATGTCAAAAATGTACCTTATTGATTGTGTGATGTGCATTCATGAATGATTTCATACTCACCATGCTGATTTGATGTCTAACCTTTATGCAAAAAGGTTTTAAATTGCAAAGTGATACAAAAAAGGTTTTAGTACACTACCATAATCGGTATTTTAAAAATGATTTGAAATGATCTTTTGAAAACCCGATTTGACTTTTATATGGTTTTATTAAATCGGGAGATTCGAGAGTAGGCCAGTTGTCATTTCGGTTAAGTGTGATCCTTGTGTATAAGTGAGCTCTAACTAGAGAACCTTTGGATTGCCAATGGGCTGTTAGACATGGTTGGGGCCATGGTCTATGATTGTTTTGTGGCTAAGCCACTAGTGATATATGCGATTACGATCGCCTGATTTCTCTGATGTTAGCCAACATTGTTGAGACTGCCATGGCTGTAGGGATCCGGTGGAGTTGAGCTCTCAGATGTTTTTACATGGAAGCGTGCCCACGAGCTTTATTATTCTATTCCTACTCGATAGTGATATCTCTTTGGGTTTTCACGCACGCAGTTTTTTACATGGTGAGAAATAATTGTTTTTCCGTAGCTCCCTTATTTATATGATGACGTTGGATTTTAATTCCTCGTGAACGAGGTGATTTATGGATTTTCTTGTAAACTTTGTTAATGGTGGATTCCATGGGAGCTCGTGCAACGATATTAATTGCTTTAATCCAGTATTTCAAATGATTTTGATGGTAGAAATATTACATCAAATGGTCCGATATTTGATTTAAATGCCTACTTGCATTAACTTACTGGTTTTACATATAAGGTACAAACCTCCCCTTTGAGTTATATTGCTTTTATATATTCTTATATTTTTAATATTCAAATCTTCTACCTTTAGCATGTTTCCCATCTATGCCCAACTCACGAGATTGATGATCACTGAGTCCATGAGACTCACCCCCTTATTTCCTTTTGCAAATAAGTGATTAGCTCAAGTGCATTGCTCAACGCATTGAAACTTGCTGCAATGTAGGTAATGGCATCTCTTAGACGCCCACTCCGAGTCGCTCCACTACCTAAAGGTCATGTTGTGTCGGATAGTCAAGCTTATGATGAGCGATAGTTTGTGAAAATGTATTTGTCAAAACTTGAGGTTGTGTAATGATTACCGCATATTACATTGAACATGTTGTGGAGTTATCAAACTTAATTTTTGGCATCTAATTGTCGTGATTTAACTATTGTGTTTACTTGGTATAAATGAGCTATGTCGTTAAAATTGTGAATTGAGTTTAAATTGTCTGAAAGTTTAACCAAGGCTTGTTTAGGGTTTGACAGGTTTACTCGCAAGTCTAGGACACCGATAACGATCTAGGGGAGAAGTCGTTACAAAAGTGAAGCTTGTGCAAGAAATATGATTGGAGGAATAAAGTGGTGCATGGAATAAAGAATAAAGAAAGGAAGAATGGCAGAGTGAAGGTGGAGGGTGGAGAAGTGTAGTAAGGATAGAAAATGGGCCAATGAACAAAGTGGGGAATTAGTGCATGAAGACTCATTGGTTGGCAAAGTGGTTAAATGAAAACAAAGGAAAATTGGTGCATGTGTTGTGGTTGGTTTCAAAAGGTGGCCAAACGAATACAAAAGAAAATTTGTGCATGAAATGTGATTAGTTCCAATGGGCTGCCATATAAATACTAAATTGCAATAGTGAAATAGAAAAGTGAAGAGGACTTTGGTGAGACTTGAAGACTGGCCATTTAGAGAAAAAAAGAAAGGAAAGAAAGCTTGACAGGTTCCACCTGAGGTGAAGAAAAAGAAGAAAGAAAAGAGAGAAATGAAGAAAAGGCTCAGTTTTACGCAAAACCAAAAGGAACCGTGGGGTTTCCTCCCTCATCTTGTAGATTTGTGCTATTTCATCACCTAAGGAGTCTTTAATACTCAAGAGAGAAGCCGTGGAGTGTTGATAGAGGTGTAGAGCTCAATTTCAAGATACAAGAGAGATAAGGTAAGAATTTTGGTTTTAGCTTGAGTAATCTTTGAAAATGAGTTGGTGACTAAGAGAAATGTCTTATGGCAACAAATATTGACTTGATTAGAGAAGACTGGGTGACATGCAAGCCATCAAACCCGTGAGTGCATATTGGATTCAAAATGAAAAAGAAATGGTAAACATAATACTATAATTTAAGGCCTATGGTTGGTTGAATATTGTAAGAAAATACTTGTGTGAAATGTTGGTAGCTTGGTGAGAAGAGCATTAAAAGAACATTGAGGTTGCATGCAAGATCAAATCCACCACAAAGGTAAGGCATGCAATGTGTAGTGTTTATGTGATGCCTTGGGTACGGTTAGAAAGCAATTATGTTATTTGAAAGCTTGAAAAATAAAATGGGTGGACAAGTGTTGTTGTGAAAGGCTTAAAAGGTTAAGAATGTGGTGTGCGTGAATGAACATTGATGTTGTGCTTAGTAGCAGCACACAAATGTAAATGGTGGTGCATATAAGCTTAAAGGATGCTTGGTGAAATTAGATTTATAGTTGCTACCATATGCATGATTAATGGTATGAAAACAATAGGTTGAACATGATAAATGTCATTAGAAAAGATTGATGTGGGCGTTGACATCATAAACAAATTGCCGGGATTATTTAAATCAAAGTTTACACTAAGGATTAAGTGTAAATGGTTTTCTCTTAAAAAAATGAATGAAATGGTGAAATGAAATGAAATGAAAGATGAGAATCTAGAATTAAGTGTGAATAGCAAGTGTAGAATATATTTTCAGTAAAGTTTATTGATGGTATTGAATTGAAATGATGTTAAGAAGTTGACAAAGCAAGGGTTATTGTTGCAAGCACAAAGTGAGTATTCGAGGAAACATCAGTGGCGAAGTAATATCCTGCTATTGTAAGGTGAGTAGGGGTGCCTATTTTAAAATTTCCAGGATTATATAAAGATATACGTATAGAAAACATTGATAGTATTCTTTAAATGCATTTGTGCTAAGCATGAGCTACTAGAAAATGATAGGTAGTTTTAGATACTATTTGTGAAAGATTTATACATTGTTGTTGTGGAAAGCATCAGCTGGTAGAAACCATATGAAATTGTGGATGCAAGTTGTTTTGAAAGTTGCTTGGGATATATCTATAGATAAGCTATATATGTAAAGTGTTTTAGAAACCAGGAAACAAGCTTTTTTACGATGTTTGCATCAAAATCCGTGCCTTGTATTTCTGTGTGATATGCATAACTAAATGCATTTGTTAAATGATTTAAAATGCAAGTTTTGAGTACCTATTTTATTCCGGTCTTTATACAAAGTGTTTACACTATTGAACCTTGATTTCAAATGATTTAAAGGAAAAGTCTCAAAAAACTTGATTTGATTTTGAAACAATTTTGACAAATAGAGAGTGTCGAGAGTAGGTCGAATGTCACATCGAGATAGTATGACCCTTGTCCGCAAGTGAGCTCTAGCTCAAGAACCTTTGGGTCACCGACAGGCTGTTAGACGTGGCTGGGGCCATAGTCTTCGATTGTATATGACAAGGCCACGGGTTATTATCTCTAGCTAGGCCATAAGTTGTGATACGTGGTTGCAACCGCTTGTTTTCTCCAATGTCGACCAACATCATGGAAACTTCCATGGCTGTGGGAATCTAGTAGAGCGGAGCTCTCAGATGTTATTACATGAAAGTGGGTCCACGAGTGATTACGATGCTTACCTACTTGAGAGCCTTGTGAGTTTTTCAATGTGTACTCTTTTGCATGGTGGAGAATTAAGATTTCTCTACAGCTTCCCTTGTTTGAATAAAAGCTTTCAGTGCTTACTTGATGATCATGAGTTGGTTTATGTGGCTGTACACGTTGATTTCTTTACATGCCATAGATTTTGGGAACGTGCATACTTTTATACATTTATTCATAGTTTGATGGCAAATGATGTTTTCGATGTTTGAACTATGTTTTGCTATACTTGTTTTCGGCACCGTTTTGCTAAGTGAAATATTGCATTATGATTTTACAACATCATTTTTAGAAGGCACAAACATTCTACTTGTAATTTGATTTTTTTTCTAAGATTATTATTCGTATTTCGATTTTATCATTCAAATTTATCTGCTTTATGCTTGTTTCCCATCTACATCCTGCTCACGGAACTGATGATAGCTGAGTATGTGAGACTCATCCCTTTATTTCCCCTTTTACAGATAGTGATCGACCTAGCATCCCTTTATCAGCATTTATTGTCTACGAAGGATAGGTAAAGGCATAACTTAGCACCTTCTTCCGAGTCGTTTTGCTGCTAGAGGTCAAGTTGATTATAGCATAAGTTAATTGTAAATGTCAATGTAAATGTGCAATTGAATATTATAGACTTTAATGTATTCTTATGTTTATGGTAAGTAAAAGTTAAGTCAATTTATTATTACTCTTATTCTAAATCATATCACAAAGGACTATTTGATTCAAAGCAATTACATGAAATGGTGGAACGAGTATAGTGAATTAATAAGAGTTTCTAATAAGGCTTGTTTGGGACTTGACGGGTTTTTTCGAAATTCTCGAATCCCGATAGTAATTGGAGAGCGGTAGTTACAATCCAAACGCACAATTACAAAATAATGCCAGCGTTTGAACCACTGATCTTAGTTTATAGATTATATTATAAAGTCATGTACTCTGTAATTAATACCAAGGCTTTAATCCATAACCCAATGGGAGAAACTCTCTTAATTCAAATAGATATGTCTAGGTTTCATACTACCATACCAAGGACCATACATTGGCATGAAGTCCAACTCCTAAATAGATGGAAACATGAAAGAGTCAGGGCTCCCATTCCTATCCAAAATACAGAAATAAACCATATAGCTCAACATAGAGATGGGTTTGTAGAATTAGTGTTAACAGGCTACCAAGAATGCCTTTAAGACAATCCTTTAATTTAGGATAAGCTACCGCTTTTATTGGAAATTTAAATATTTTGGGAGATGTCTTAGTTAAATTTCTACCTAAGCAAGAATATGTATTGGAAAGATAATATAACGATAAGTAGAGTATCGATCCCGCAAAGAATTAATCTAAAATTTTACTAAGCACTAAAGTTAAAACAATTTAAACTTATCTAAACAACCAAAATTAATTAATACTAACTTAGACAAAAATCAAACCAAATAGGCCTAGGATTACAATCTCCCTCACACTTTGTCTAATTATTACCTCTCTTCCTTAACTTATTTCAAATGGATTGAATTGCTAACCTAGAGTCATCAATTATTTATAAGAGTCTCCTAACCCGTCTTATAAAAATCTCTATTTTATTTAAAACACTATATCCCTATGTGAATTGAAATTAAAATAGACTCATTAAGTTCAAGCTCTAATCTGGCTACATATGGCTTATAGGTATATTCGTATCCTATATGCAAAACAATTGATATGATCATATGTTATCTCAATTTTAGTCTACATTAAACTCCTTTTCCCAAGTTTGTTTAGGTTCCTAAATCAATTTAACTGGTGATCAAGCAATTGAAAGCATTAAGAACAAATTGGAATAAACAATTCATATCCCATTAAAGATAACCAAGAAAGAAATTAAAAATTTTGATTATATGTAAGTCCAATTGCAATCCACAAAAAAGAAATTTAGTTATGCATAATTATACAGACAAATTACATTTTTTAAATTTCAACCATTAAGAGTAACAATAATACAAAAGCTGAAAAAGAAAACAAATCGATTAATTGCAGCCTTGTTTTCCGATTTTCTGCCTTAACTTTCAGCTTTTTGAATCTTCAAAAGTTATCTAACCTAATGTCTCTTAAAAATTTCCTATTTATACTAACAATCTTAACCTAAAATCCCCTAAGGTAGCCCATTAATTCTAATTAGGCTTAAAGGTGTAATGAGGCCCAAATATCAAATATCATTTTTCAAAATTTCCATTCTTGTAGAATTACACCTTGTCATCTATCAAGGCAATTTTCTCTATCTTTGATGTAGAACTGGGCAAAGTGATCTCATGAAAGTTGTAGCTCTGTCTCTTATCTTTCCAATGGCACAAGAATTGCATCATTTGGAATTCTGTAGCCAAAGTTACGAGCAAAATACCGAAGAATATGCAAGTAGAATTCTAAGTCCTTCGAAAGCCTTGCTTTCCAAAATTAAGCCCAATTTCCTTAAACCCTACAAAATCATAAAAACTAATAAATAATGGTCAATTTAAAATAAATAAACATAAAATTAAAATAACTCACTAAAATTAAACTAATTATAAAAACAACTAAAAATAACTAAATTATAATTAAAAAATAAGGACTTAGCTAATATTTAATAACAAAATCAGACTAAAATAATTCTACAAAATAGGATTATCACACTTCTAAACTTAAAATTTTGCTAGTCCTCTAGCAAAAGAAAATGAAATATAAAAGAAATTTTTGCGAGAGATAGAAGTACCAAATCATGATTTTTTAATTTTTCCTTCAGAAATTATCTTCAATTTTAGCTTAAGGTAGCATACAACTAATCCTTAAAGTCAAGCATCAATTCAAGTGAAAACTATCTTCGAATGGACTTCTTATGTTTGAGTGAATAATCTCTTACAAAGAATATCATGCAATTCAAATTAGTTTATGCCAAATTTAAGCATAGATTAGTACTAGAATCCCATAAGTTTGTCTTTAGTCTCTCTTTCCACTAATGTAGAGTAACACTTATTCAAGGATCAATAGGTCTTTATTAAGCTTATAATATAAGGCTAAGGTCAAGGTATAATAAAGGATATTTTTAGGCTCAAATTCACCCTAAACACTTAATTAATCTAGGACCTATAAAAAGCTCAATAAATGTTTATAGCACCCTCAAACTTAAAGTAAAATTTCCTTTGTACAACACACTATTTCTTTTTTTTTTTTAAATACACCCCCAAACTTATTTTTGGCAACTGTGAACAAGTGGTAAATTTCAAGCCCCCATCACCCTTTTCTCTTTCACTTTTCTCCCTCATTTTATCTTTAAGCTCAATATGCTTCCTAGAAAGATCAAAATATTTAAAAGTGAAAGGTTCAAACTGTTAAAAATAAAATGGCTAAGGCTACTATAATTGTACGTATACAAAGAAAAGGTAAATTAGGCTCTAAATGAGTGACTAAGGATAATTATATAACAAGGTAGCTTAAAAAGGCTTAAACGATCCAAAGATGGCCTAAATCTCTTTCTATCCTAAATGGTATCTAAGATTTCACCTCGAGAGAGAATCAAACAAATTCTATAATTCTTAGCTTTCCTATACTTTTTA